AGGAAGGAAGGAAGGAAGGAAGGAAGGAAGGAAGGAAGGAAGGAAGGGCTAATATTTCCTTAAAAGAAAATAGGGGTTTAAACCAGAGCCATCATTTTTACCTTAAAAAAAAATAGTAGGGCTAGGGAGATGATTCAGTGGGCAAAAGTCACACAGCTGTGGACAAAATCTCCGGTCTGGTCTCACAGTCATTCAGTCCCAAAAAACACACTGAGGCTTATATTAATTATAAACTGTTTGGCCTATTAGCTCAGGCTTATTACTAACTAGCTCTTACAACTTAAATTAACCCATGGTTCTTGTCTATGTTTAATACACACCAGTACCTTTTCTCAGTAAGGCATTCTCATCTTGCTTCCTCTGCATCTGGCCGGTGAATGCATCTCTGTCTTTCCTCTTCCCAGAATTCTCTTAGTCTGGTTGTCCTGCCTATACTTCCTGCCTGGCTACTAGCCAATCAATGTTTTATTAAACCAATACAAGTGATAAATATTTACAGTGTACAAGAGCATTATTCCATAGCACACAGCCTGATTAACTAAATTCAATCTCTGGGACCCAGGTAAAAATCTGGATGTGGTGGCAATTATCTGTAATCCCAGTACTCTGTGATGAACTGGAAAACAAAGACAGGAGAACTGGCCAAAGGCTTCCATCCTAGAGTACAAGGAACAGGTAGAAACAAGAGATATCTTGCCTCAATGGTGCGAAAGGTGAGAACCAACTCCCAAAGTTGTCTTTGGAATCCACATGTGTCTAGCACATACATGCCAGTATATACACGCACACATACATACATACATACACACACACACACACACACACACACTTTGGATTCCACATGCATGTGGCGCATATGTAAAAGGAACGGCGGGCCACTTCCCGCCTCCCATCTGGCTAGCTTTACCCAAAATAATTACACGGAAACTGTATTCTTTTAAACACTGCCTGGCCCATTAGTTTCAGCCTCTTATTGGCTAATTCTCACATCTTGCTTTAACCCATAGTTAGTAATCTGTGTAGCACCACGAGATGGTGGCTTACCAGGAAAGATCCAAACCTGCGTCTGTCTCGGAGAGGAAAGTCATGGCGACTGCCTGCCTCTGCTTTCCTTCTCCCACAATTCTGTTCTGTCTTCCCCGCCTACCTATGTTCTGACCTATCAGGCCAAGCAGTTTCTTTATTAATTAACCAATGAAAGCAACAGAAATACAGAAGACCCACCTACATCACACATATATGCCAATACACACATACACACATGCACGTGTATGCACACACACAGATACACAATGGGGCTGGAGAGATAGGTCAGCAGTTTAAATTGTTTGCTACACAATTCTCAAGACTGGAGTTTGGGTTCCAGAACCCGAATAGCAAGCTAATCATGCAACTCTAGGTCTTAGTGACCCAATGTCCTTTTCTAATCTACATACACACACAAGGTTGTGTATACCTGTGTGCTTAAGCATGTGCACAAATATACAAGATAAATAAAATAATAAATAAATTAAAAAATGAAACCCACTATAGGTCTATGGAGATGGCTCAGTAGGTAAAGTGCAAGTATGACCCATAGTACCATGTTCAAAAAGCCCCACATGGGTCATGCCACAAATACATTACTTACCTAACATGTGCAAAGCCCTAGGTACTATCCCCAACAGTAAAACAAAATTAATGGACAGTTTGCCATCATGTTAAGCTTGTTGTGAACTTACAGGTATTGTGCAGCTGTCTGAATCTCGAGATGCAAATCCAACATTGCCTAAGTGAAGGATGCCAGCAAGTATTCGAAAAATTCCCATTTGGTAAGATTCACTTATTCCTGGAATATAGCAAATAAACAAGTGATTTATGGCAGAATAGCAAAATAGTAATAATAAGAGAATATTTTTAACTCTAGTATTAATTCTTAAATATTGCCAGATGTGCATATTATATACATAGTCACAACAGCAATACTTTTAACTTTGCTGACAGTAATAAACTAGGCAGATCTGCATTGTGGGTTATGAGTATGCCTGATCTGGTCTTATGTCCTGGCACTGAAATCAACCTGCCACCTCCACAGACAGATAACTTCGTCCATCTATGCTTTGGTTTTCTTATTTGAGATAAGGAGATAATTCTTTAAAAAGTGATTGTAACATTAAATGAGATAATGCACAGAGTATACCTGGGACACATTAGGTATTTTTAAAATTGGGCATTACTGTCACATCTTAGATATATAAGTATTTTATTAATATTATTGCTACTATTTATCTCTACTTAAAATACATATTGTAGTCCAATAAGGCTGATTTAAGATGGATTATTAAAATACTTCAAGTATAGATTAAATAGAAATCAAAGAGATCTAAGATCAGAAGCATTTTATAGTTTTATATTCAAAAGTTAATGAGTAAAAGTCCAAACACAGCTTTGGAACAGGACCTAAATAATATGGTGAGAATAGAAAGCTGGATACTTTCTGGCTATTACCAGATCTGTTTCATTTTTTCAGTGAAGATAAGAAGTTCTAGAATATTAAACATAATTATATAAGTAAAAGTAGTAAAATTATTTTCAAAACATTTTTTTCTATAAGGCAATTGAGATTTACCTTATGATGAATGTTTTGCTATCTCCTATCTTCCTTCCTTCCTTCCTTCCTTCCTTCCTTCCTTCCTTCCTTCCTTCCTTCCTTCCTTCCTTCCTTCCTTTTTAGGCTTTTTTGAGACAGAATTTCTCTTTGTAGCCCTAGCTATCCTGAAACTCACTCTGTAGACCAGGTGGCTGTGAACACGGAGATTCTTTAGCCTCTCTGCCTCTTGTGTTTTGGAATAAAGGGCTCGTGCTACCACACCCAGCATTGAACTGGTCTTTTAAAATTCTTAAGGAGAGCAGTGTTCTCATAACGTGTTCATGGAGCACTGGCAGGCCTTGCTAAAATGCACATTCTGAACCCACAGTTTTGTGAAGTGGTATGAGAGTCTTCATTTTTAGCAAGTCCCACAGTGGTTCAAGACCTAAGCTCCCTTGCTTGATGGCATGTCTCTAAATACCAAATACAATAATTGAGTTACTTCTAGTCTGAGATTTTATAAAAACATGGGGGAAAAGGACACCTTTAAAAGTTGCATAGTTCATAGTATGAACTGATTCATATGTGAACTTAACACTTTCAAATCACAGAGAGAACAATGGCATCTGTTTCAAAAACACTGGAATATCAACATTATGTGCATGTATGAAGTTCTCAAACAATCGAGATTTAAAAAACCCTTTTATCAAAAAAAAACAACAAAAGGAAAACACTAAAATACATGTGTTCTGTCACCACGCACTAAAAATAACAAGAAAAATAACAAAAGCAAAACTATGCACTGGGCATTATGACACATGCCCTCCATCCCTTGAGAGGCCAAGGCAGGAGGATCAAAAGTCCTAGACCAGGCTGAGCTACATGGTGAAAACCAATCTCCAAAAATTACAAACAAATGCAAAAGAACAAAAATAAGCAAGTCCCCCAAACAACCAACAAAACTACAAAATGTGAGTTTATAAAAAAAAAAACACTTCATTTAGTTTCAAACTCTAGATTTTTGTAAAAATTTAAGCTAAAAGTTAATCTTAACTCTCCTAATACTGAACTACGCAATTAAAGAGGATTTCAAAATAATCTTCATTAAGTTAACAAGGTTGAACAACTGTTACCACTATCTCATCCTAAAACTGCTCTAAGAAATCTCAGACCCATTTGTCTGAACAAGTTCCATACATGTGAAATCTCCCAGCACTGTTTATCAGTTAACATAAAGCCAAACCAATATTGCAAACAAAAGTTACTTGATTCAAAACGACCAGCACTTGTAAGTTAAAGAATGAAATGCCATTACCCAGCAGAGTGCAGGCCTGCCTGGTGTGCGCCATCTCCTTTGCATCATCCACTCCTTCAATCATAGGGCTGCCTCCTTGCTTCGTGTAATGAAAACTATCTGCATTTCCTGCAGTGAAGGAAAACAAAAGGTTTTTCTTTTATGAAGAGAGGCTTGGACTTCCACTCTTACACATATGCTGAATTAGAGGCAGTGACAGCACACTGATATATATATAGGATTTGGAATCTGCCCAGTTTAAACTCATATCTAATATAAGATCCAAAACTAAAATGCTCATAGATTTTATGTTAATGGGTGAAATAAATTATATTTTTCTTCGGGTTTAATTGCAAACAAAAAGCTAAAATATGTTTCCTCAAACTCTTTCATGAAAGCAGTTTTCAAGCACGTATAAAAGAAGGGAGGTTAGAATGCTTGAACCCCATCTACTCCTCACCTACCTTCACCGACTGCCACAGGCAATCCTGTCCCTGATAAGGCCACTCAACCCACTCACTCTAAAGCCAGCTGCAGACCTTCAAGAATCTTTTCATTCATAAATATTTTAGTATGAAGTAAGATTTTTTGACAAGCCTGAGAACTCAAAATTTCACAGAAAAGCATGCCCATCTAGTGTCATTTCCGTACCTAATCGCAGCATTTTAAACTCAGGTAACTTCGCTGACGCACAGAGCTGATAGAAGATATGGTAGTTTCTCTCCTCTTCTGCCTTTGAAATAAGAAGAGCTTTCAATTGTGACATCTTAATATAAAACCCAGGAAAACCTACCATAACACATAATCTAATATTTAACCATCTCAGCAATTCCCCACATTTTCTAATACTGATTTAAATAATTAACCCTTATAATTAATGCTATATCTACAAAGTAGGAGGATGGCATGAAACTTGAAACCAGGCTGGGCAAACAGTGAGGCTCTGTCTCTTGAAAAATAAAAAATAAGTAAGTATAAAAGTGTTAGTCATATTCAGTATAAAATACCAGGCAGCAGGGCTTTTTTTTTTTTATGAACAAACATACCAATGACCACAAGCATGATTAGGCAAGAGATCAGGTGGTTCAGCACACAGAAACTAGAAAATCAGGTGGGCCTGCAGAAACGCTGTGGTCATCTTTGTACAGGATAGCTTATTTTGACTGTGATTCATTTGATAAAACAAATATTCTCAATATTCTATACTCCTGAAGACTGGGGAATTGCTAGACTTACTACCACACCTATAGATAAAGAATGAGCTTTGTCAAATTCTTCATTAGGCAGTCTTACCACTGGTCAACTTACTGACCAAAGTCAATTTCCTATCTCTCTTATGCTCGCTCACAGTCCTATATATTTCTTTTTTTAAAAAAAAAAAAATAATTTTTAGTTTATGTATATAAGTGTTTTGCTTGCATGTCTGCTCGTGCACCACATGTGTGCAGTATATGTAGAAGCCAGAGAAGGGTGTTGAATCCCCTGGGATTGGAGTTACAGACAGTTGTTAGACACTGATACAGGTAATGAGATTTGAACTCAGGTCCTCTCCTAACCTCTGAGCCATCTTTCCAGTCCCATATTCCTATATATTTCTATAAATATTTCTATAAGGACTTAACCCATCTACATTTCATTCATTCTTTCTTCTCACTATTGATTATTTTTTAATTCTATATAAGTTTGAATATGTAGAATAACACTGTTGTTCGTAACTTTAAAGGAGGGTGGTTATTGCCTTACTATACATATCAAATATTTATAAGTTTATGCATATCAAGTATTATAATTTAAGATTAAATATTTAATCAGGCAAAGTCAGAGTTCCTGGCTTTCCCAAATCATGCCTCAGCATGTACAAGACCATTTCAAAGCCAAAACAGACTTTGGCAACAGAAGACTAGATCCTGCTGTGTGGAGTATTTCAACTTTAATGATGTGGCATCCAGCATGCAGGTCACTAAAACTCTGGGTCTCAGTATGATGTGTGCAGTGGGTCACCAGTAGCCACATACTGACATTTTCTAATGATAATCTATAGTCTCACGTGCCTACAGTGTGAGAGTGTACACCCGCTAGTGCTGCAAGGGTATAACACACATGTCTTTCCATCAGAAAGGAACAACAATACAAGTGTTAACAAAAATTCTGTGATTTGATGGCAGTTTACAGCTTGGCTATGGGCAGCTTTCTTTTAGCTCTGACTGGCAGAACAGGGACTGGGTTGAAACATCAGGGTTAACAGGAGGAATGACAGTCTGCAAAAGAGAGCTGGAAGCCCTTCCTTACTGGTCTTCTTCTAAAGAGCATGTTCACAAGAAGCTCTGCCTATTTAAACTTGGAACTGGTATTATGTAAATCATCTATAATGGATCCAGGCCACATGGCCCAGTATTTGTTGGGTTCTTTCTTCAGCTCAATTAGCCCACTTCCATTCCTTGGATACTTTTCCTTTCTTAATGAGCTGTCTATTTCTATTTCTAACCATGTGTCCCTATGCAATCCTTTGCTCTAGGGTATAAGAGCCAGGAAATGGGTACCTCTGAACTCAGATGAGACTCAGCCCTCCTAAGTATGTTTTTCCTGATATTCTAGGCCTTGTCTGCCCTCTATGCCTAGCTTAAAAGGCCTGACTTTTCTGTCTTCCCTCTTTCTGGTGGCTGCTGGGATTTTGAGCCTTCCTCTATTGTTGTTTTACTTTCAAACTTTAGTAAAATTATCCTCAACAATCAGAATGGATTTTTAAATTATTTTATTAAGACTAAGAACTCAAAGAAAGCCCTTTCTCAATTTCCCTGTAACATCACTCTTTTCCTCAAACAATGTTATATCCTAAGAATAAAAAAAAGTATAAAGAGGACAGGGATATTGTGTTTTTCTTGAGCTGAGTTGAAATTCTTTGAAGACATAGATCAATGCTTTCTTTGTCAATTGGGAAATATAAGAGACAAGCCTTGCCTCAACTGAGCTTTTCAATAACATCTGTAAGAAAGTAAAACCACTACACCAGACTCAGAAAGACAAACAACACACATTTTCTTTTACAAGTAGAATATAGATTTAAACATAAATAAATGCAAACACACACATGAGACAACATGAACAAACAATATTTTAAAGTAGCATAGAGACTATGACGAGGAATAATGTCTAAAGTAGGGGGTGAGAGTAAACAGGTCGTGGAGTGAAGAAAGACAAAACATGCTTTCTTTCACATGCAGAATCTAGCTTTAAGATCCATTCAGATAGATACGTATACATATATATCTATGAACAAAATCCGGAAGACACTGTGAGAGAGAAAGCAGATCAGCAAGACAAAAATGAGGGTAGAAGAGTGGTATGGAGCAATTATATGTATATACACGGATGTCATAATGGAATCCATTATTTTGTATAGCAACTTAAAAAGTTAATAAAATATGAAACAATAAACCGAAATCAGTGCCCATTCTCAAAAACAATTAGTTTAAAGAAGTAGTCCTCTAACTCTGGCAGGAATCATTTTATATGTTTCTATCCAAGTGTCTGGTGTGGGAGAATTGTCTGTATTCTGTCAATTGTGTATTTTAATAAAACGCTGACTGACTTTCCTTGGGGTATGCCGGCTGTGGGGTACCGGGCGGGACAGAAACCCCAACAAGCCGGCCCTACATGCTACAAGTGTCTTTTATAGTAATACTGTGAGACTACGCTCAAGAGTACTGAGAAATGAGGTATATCATACTAGCAAGCAAGGGCTCTATAATTGGTATAGTACGGCTTTTTTCTTGGGTGTAAAATGACCATTATCTTGGAAAGGAGATTATGTTAGCTCTCACAGCCATGGAAATGAATTCAGCAGAACCCCAAAGACGTACCTAGGTCTTAAGTAATAGTGAGGAAGCTGTAATATACACTAGTAGAAAAGGCAAGGTGGAGTCACAGGAGCTTCAGCTAGGATTGCAGCAATTACTTTCTGCTCTGTTCTCCCCCAGTGCAAATGACCTTGCAAGATGTTAGGATATGTAAAAAAATGAAAGGTTAACTGAAAGGGAGGCTCTATGATGCAGTTTCCATGAGGTTGTTATCCATAATGGGATGGGACCTCATAGTGATACAGCTACTTTGGGGTCAATCATGTATATAAATAAGCCTAATAAATTAATTGGGTCATCGAATTGAACTTCCATAAAATAGTTATTTTATTTTGTCTTTGGTGTTCTCTCTGGGTTGCTTGTTTCCCTCTCCCCAAGAAAACTTAACATAGCAGCAATTATATAGTAATCCAAAAATCAACACAAGTATTTGAATGTGTATGCACATACACCTTACCTGGAATACCACTCTGGATTTCTCTAAAAGGTAAGTTCTCATATTGGCACCGATGATTCGATATCTCTTATCAAAACCAATTTCAATATATTTCCCAAACCGGCTGCTATTATCATTCCTGGTCGTTTTAGCATTTCCAATTGACTAAGAAGCAAGAGAGAAAACAAGATTTTAGGAGGGGAATGTATAACATTTACAAAGCTTTTTCATAGAGAGAATGAATAGAATATAACCCTTAGTTCTAACTGATTCTTTTAATAAGAGAACCAATTCTGCCCTTGTAAACAGCATAAGGGTCTGCTTTGCCTCCCAACCGCACAGGTAGATGCCAATAGTTTTTCTTGTCATTTCACAGAAATGAATTTCAGAAGTAGCAGGACTGATGCAACAGAGGTGACATTTTCATGCAGCATCTCGTCATTAGCCATCAAAAATTCAGAAAACTGTCTTATGTAAATGAAATCATTAAGACAAAGGAAAATTTCCCTGGAAATGCTGGTTTGGTATAAAAGATATCTTTGGAACTAGATAGTTTTATCATCTCATCCTATAGCAACAGAGGTCAAATGAGACTGCTTATTAGCAGGGATCAGTATTTCCCATTCTACTGATTGATAACATTTTGAGGCAGTATCTCACATATCCCAGACTAACCATGAGCTCCTTATGAAGCTGAGGATGCTTTAAACTTCTTACTCTCCTGCTTCTACTTTCAAGTGGGGAGGAGGGGATAATAGGCATGTGTAAATGCACCTGGCTTTCCTCACTTAATCTGAATGCCATTTTCAGAAACCAGAAGTAAAAAATGAAGCTTTCTGATATAATGTGAATGTGTGTATATGTACAAGTACACATGCGCAGTTGTACTGTACATGTGGGCATAAAGCCCAGAGGTTAACATCAGGTGTTTTCCTTTACCACTGTCCACTTTATTTACTAAAGTAGGGTTTCTCATAGAACCCAAAGCTACCCAGCTTGTCCTAGGGACCCTGTCTCTATCTCCTAAGCACTAGGATTACAGACAGGTCACCAAACCCAGCTTTTTAATGTAGGTACTTAGGACCTAAAGTCTGATTTGCTTGCTTGCAGGGCAAGCACTGTATCCATGAACTACACCTCTAGATCCCAACTGTTTGTTGCTACTGTTTGGGGGGGGGGTTGTTTTAGTTTGGTTGTTTTTTTGGGGGGTTTTTTGTTTGTTTGTTTTGCTTTGTTTTTGAGATAGGGTTTCTCTGTGAACAGTCCTAGCTGTCCTGGAACTAACACTTGTAGACCAGGCTGGCCTCAAACTCACAGAGATCTGCTTGCCTCTGCCTCCCAAGTGCTGGGATTAAAGGTGTGTGCCACCAATGCCCGGCCTCTTTGTTTGCTTGTTTTAAAGACATCTCATGCAGTCCAGGTTTATCAGGAACTTGCTACATAGCTGAGGATGACCTTGAACTCCTGATCCTTCTGCCACTACCTGTAGAGTGCTAGGACTATAGACATGTGCACATGGCTTGGTTCACCCCAGCCATCTCACCCCAGCATTGATTTTGATGGCTTTATCTAACTTATAAAATATCTTCAACCAAATACTGAGAATGTAACATTCTACTAAATGTTATACATAACCTTAAATTCTTAATAGCATATGTCTGTTTTGTAAGTTAATAGAAGGGGATATGCTTCTGTAAATTTCTCTTTTAAGGCAAAATAGAAACAAGCATTCACATAATATATATATTTAACACTTAATAACTTTATTTCATGTAAGATTAATATTTGCCCCTTGTACAAACTTTGTTAGAACTAATGTATCAAACCCACAATGAAGAGGAAGATGTAAAAATAGTACAGAATGTTAAGAGAACAAATATCAGGGATAAAAATAATAAGACCCTAGCCACAAGAGTCACTATATTTGATCTTTTGACCAAAGAAAATGTGTCATCACTGTCTCAAACAGAAGATAGTATAATTTGTATCAGCAATGAGGATATTATTTAAATTTGAATTAACATTTTTAATGCATTTTAGAAAAAGAATAAGAATGATTGAAAACTATCTTCCTAGTAAATTACAGAGGGATTAATATAGCTTGGAATAATGTAGCTAAACAGACATTTACTCAGAAATTACAAACTGTGTGTGTGTGTGTGTGTGTGTGTGTGTAGAGAGGGGGGGTTGTATTTAATACCCAAAGTTGTATTAAAAAAACTCAGAAAATAAACCTCACATTCAGTGACAAGAGCCTTGGATAAATCATTGGTCAAAGACGATATTGCAATAGTCATTGGTGAAGATGCTGCTTTTAATGGAGTTCTTTAAGTTACTGGTTGTTTATGAGTCAAATGTGGAAACTGCTTTAACAGCACTTTGTGAGAACAAGGGTTTGGAAAGGGAACTGCTCACTCTTCAGTGACATTTCACTGCATTGCTGAAATTCTGTTTAAATTATATTTCCCTGCCTTTGATCAGACTGTGAATGAAGTGGCCAAAGGTGCCTTTCGCTCTGGGGATCTTTTCTACTGTGGGAGCCGCACCATGGGGCCACAGGACTGCATCTGCCACAGGGCTCTCTATTATTCTCAGAGTTCTGAAGTCTGTTTTGCCCACTGCCGAGGGATGAAGGTGGTCATACCCAGAATCCCCATCCAAGATGAGGTAATTCTGTTGTGATAGAGGATCAAAAAAAAAAATCCATGTACATTTTTTAACTAAGTAGTATTTTATAGGGCAGTGGTGAAGCAGGTTGCTGCATGTTGAAGTCTTCCAGGAAGGCAGTGATGGGACTCTGGTTGTCTAGGGCATGCAGGATCATGAGATCTGAGAGGTCGCATCCATGACATGAGAAAAACTTGGTGTATCTTGTAAAGTCATTGATTTGTGAACTAAGTGCCTCAGAATATAGACACACTTTGTAAGTCTGTGATTGAAATGGGGCACCTGGGGCTGGAGAGGGGGCTCAGAGGTTAAGAGAACTAGCAGCTTTTGCAGAGGACCTCGATTCAACTTCCAGCACCCACATCGAAAACTCCAATTCCAGAGGATCAGATCTTGTCTTCTAGCCTCCATGGAAAATGCATATACTTGGTGCAAACATATACATGTATGGTAAAGACTCATGCATGTAAAATGAAAATAAGTAAATCTTAAAATTTTTAAAGAACAAACCAGGATGCCTGCTCTATCAACCATAAGACTCTTTTGATGGGTGCTTCACATTCAAGATCAGCTCCACAGTCCAGGAAGAATGCTTTATAAAGCTCTCATATCCAGAGTATGTGGATATGACACTCTACTTTCTCATATTTTTGAGCCGTTTGACATCCCAGACAAATGGAAATGTTGCAGTGCCCTCAGAAGAAAATGAACTACTGACCACAGAGAACACCAGAAAGATTGCAACAAGATATTTAAAAAATTTTAAATTCTTTTATATTGCTTCAGATTTATCTCCTTTTTAAATTATAGCTTCATGAAATGAACTATCATGGATACTAGTTGGAGAGCTACAAAGTACTTATTGTATTAATAAATGTAGATTGATTTTCATGGGGTGTTTTAGAGTAACTTTCTAAAATGTTCCACAGGAGATAATTTTATGAACTGTTTAATTATTAATTATTGGGTATGGTGCTATACTCAAAAAAACAAAGTCACACTGAAAAGGAAAAAAAAACTAAAATGTTCTTTTTCTAAACAGACTGACTCTGATCAGTGCTGCCCATATGTTCATGAGTGTGACGTCACCCACTAAAGCATGGACAATCTACCAGGAGCCACCGCCATGAAGGAAACTGAGTCTCCATCCCTTGGCAGCCATCAACTACAAAGAACATTTCAGTCAGGGGTGGGGCTTCATGAATCCCTCCATCGTCCTTGCTGGGATTTTTACTTGCTCCAACTTGTACCGGTCTTCTACAGGCAGCCACAGCTGCTGAAAGCTCATGAATGCAGCAGCCCCTGCTATGTCCAGAAGATACCGTTTTATGGCAGCTCTCCCCATTCTTTGGCTCTTGCAATCTTTCTGCCCCCTCTTTTGTGATGTCCCTGAATATTGGGGGAAGAAAGTAAATACAGATGTCCCATTTAGGACTCAGTGCTGCACAGTCATTTATTTTCTGCACTCTGATCAACTGTGACTTAGTTCACCTTTCTTGACATCATTTTAAAAAAACTTACTATTCCATATATCATCTTAATGTTTTATTTAGAAAAAGGAGATTAATAATAAAGACAGAATTTTCAGTTGAAAGGATATATAGACTATCAAAAAGTAGACACCTATAGCAAAAGTAGCACTATCAATGATATCAATGAGTGCTTACCAAGCCCTGCCCTATGTAATTTCATGTCTGTATCTAAGGCAGTTGGGGGAACGTGGTCTACAATTTCTATTTCACAACCTGCATCTACTGGCCATTTCTCATACCAGACTGACAACTTGATAAAGCAATGCTACATACTGTGAGAAAGGGTAGGTTAGGGCTAAAGCAGAACTTTTTGACTGTCAGTAAAACATTTAAACATAGAACAACAAACAGAAGATATAGCAAGTAAAGTCAGTTTGAAGGCTTGGGTGGCAGAGAAGGACCATATAATCTCTCTGAGAAGCACTACATCGTCTGATTGTTTCTTCTGTCTTGTAAGTACTATATCCACAAGATCCTGTTATTTTCATTTCAATCAACAAGAAATTGCTATGCTATAGGAAGGTTATGGCTGTGGTTCAGTTGAACCATCCCTGCTTTTCTGGGACCAAGTGAGCTTGATCATGATGGATAATCTTTTTGATGTGTTCTTGAATTGAGTTTGCAAACATTATATTGAGAATTTTTACAACCACATCTATCAGAGATTCTGACCTCTAGTTTTCTTTTTTGTTAAGCCTTTGTTAATGTTGTATCAGGGTAAAATTTGCTTTGAAAAAAGAATTTATAAAAGTTTCTTCATTTTCTATTATACTAAATAATTTGTTTCTTTTTTGAAGGTCTGGTAGAATTTTGTCCTGAATCCATCTGGTCTTGAATTTTTTTTTAATTTGAGAGTTTTTAAATTACTATTTCTATTTCACTGAAGGTTATGGGTCTATTTAAATTATTAACTTCATCTTGATATAGTTTTGGTAAGCCATATATATCTAGAAATTCATTTTTTATAGATTTTTTCCAATTTTGTATAATATAAATGTTTTTAAAAACATACTTATGATTCTCTGAATTTCCCCAGTATCTACTGTAATATCTCCATTTCTATATCTAATTTTATTAATTTGGATTTGAGCTCTCTTTTGCTTAATTTGGATGAAGGTTTGTTAATTTTGCTAACCTTTTCGAAGGAAAAAATTGCCATTTTAGCAATTCTTTGTATCATTTTTCTTCATTTCTCTTTCATTCATTTCAGCCCTGATTTTGATTATCTTTTCCCAAATACTCTTTTGGGAGTTGTTTGTTCTTGTTTCTCCAAAGCTTTCAAGTGTATCCTTAAATTATTAATTTGAGATCTTATGTTATTGATACAGACACTAGATGATGAAATCTTTCCTCTTGAGAGTCCACTGTATCAAAATCACAGATATTTATCATGCTGTAGTTTCATTTTCATTCAATTCTAAGAATTTTAAAATTTCCTTCTTGATTTCTACTTTGATCCAATTATCATTCATGAGTGTGCTGCTTAGTTTCCATGAGTGTGCAATTTATGCACTTCCTTTTGATGCTGATATCCAACTTTATTCCATTGTGGTCAAAAAGAATGAAGAACATTATTTCAACTTTCCTGTATTTGTTTAGATTTGTTTTGTTCTAATATGTGATTGATATTGGAGAAAGTTCTATGAGCTGCTGAGCATAATGTATATGCTCTTTAATGTTTGGGTGGAATGTTAAGTAGATAACTGTTAGGTCTGTTTGATTTATGATGTCAGTTTAACTCCAAAGTTTCCAGGTAGTTAGCTTTTTTGTTTTCAATGATCTGTATATTGGTGAGAGTAGAAATCACTTACGTGTTATGGTCAATCTGTGGTTTCATATCAAAGAGTGTCTCTTTTAGGAAATTGGATATCTCTATGTTTGGTGCATATATGTTTAAGATTTTAATTTGAGGCAAGATCTTGCTACGTAGTCCTGGCTAGTTTGTAACTCACTATTTAGCCCAGGTTGTACTCTGACTCATGGTAATCCTTTTGCCTTAACCTCCTGAGCACTGAAATTATATATATGAGTCATCAAAATTGTTTATTATTTATTTATCTTGTTTTTTGAGACAAGGTCTATGTAGTCCAGACTGGCCTCAAACTCACCATGTAGCCAAGAATCACCTTGAACTCTTGATCTTCTTGCCTCTACCTCCTGGGATTACAGGTGGTGTGCTATGACTTCTGCCTCCCATATTCTATTTCAGTCTTTTAAATGAAAAAACACCTCTTTGCAGTTGCTAAAAATTCTCTTCTTCAAAAAAAATTATTTATTTTTATTTTATGCACACATGCAACACATGTGTGCCTGGTGCCAGAGGAGAACAGAAGGTGTTATATCCTTTGGAACAGGAATTACAGGTGTTTGTGAACCAGTATGTGAGTGCTGGGAATCAAACCCAGACCCTCTGCAAGAGCACCAAGCACTCTTAGTGCTTCTGTCTCAGTCTCCAAGTGCTTAGATCACAGTTATGAGCCACCATACCTGGCAAGAGCAGTAAGTACTTTGAGCTATCTCTCCAGGCGTGAAAATTCTCTACTTTTGTATATGGTATTGGGAACTGAGCCCAGGGACTTGTAATGAAGCCAACTACCTACCACTGAATTACATCCCTCAACAACTTTATCAAGGGAAATCTTCTTGATCTTAATGCAAATATGTAAACAATAATACAGAAAGAGAACCTTTTTTTCTCATCCCAGTAAATATGGTAAATTTTTCATAATTGCCTTTTACTAAAAAGAGAATCTGATGTGGATTCCCCTCTGTATTCTGTGAATACCACTGGTTTTAATTAAAAAAAAAAAACTGCTTTCGACTTATACTAAGGCAGAACTTAGCTAGGCAGGGGAAACTAAACTGAATGCTGGAAGAAAGAAGACAGAGTCTAGGGGAAGCCATGTAGCCCCACCGGAGACAGACACTGGGAACTTTGCCAGGTAAGCCACAGCCACATGGCAATATACAAATTACTAAAAATAGGTTAAATTAAGATATAAGTGTTACCCAATAAGAAGCTAGAACTAAGGGGTAAAGCAGTATTTTAAATAATATAGTTTCTGTGTGATTATTTTGGAGCTGAGCAGCCTTGTGCCCATTTTCAAATTAATGTCATTCTTACTAACAAAACTCAAATTTGTACTGTAAACCACCACAACAAAACAATACAGCTGTTTTTTGGAAGAGGTAGAAAACAGCCCTTGGCATATTCTAAAAGGGTCATTGGGATGTGTTGCAAGGAAGCTGCTTGTTCATCCTGGCCACCTGGTTAGCTTACCCCCAAAATAACCACACAGAAACTGTATAAATTAAAACACTGCTTGGTCCATTAGCTCTAGCTTCTTATTGGCTAACTCCTACATCTTTATTTAACCCATTTCTATCAATTTGTATATCACCACGAGGTTGTGGCCTACCAGAAAAGTTTCAGCACGTCTATCTCTGGCCACAGATCCATGGTGTCCCTCTGATTCTGCTTTCTTCCTTCCGGAATTCAGTTCTGTCTTCTCCACCTACCTAAGTTCTGCCCTATCAGGTCAAGGCAGTTTCTTTATTCATTAACCAATACAAGCAACACACAGAGGGGACTCCCTCAGGGATATATTCCCAAAACAAACTCAAATTCTAGTTTTGGATGATCCAGCCTAGTAGACATGGTATTTTCTAAAGCTATGACATCAAGATTTTTTTTAATATTTTAAGATTAGGAACTAGGATGCCTTAGGACTCTCAAATACTAGAAATCTGTTGCACTGGGGAAAATGAATAAAAGCCCAAGCTAAGCCCTGCTGTTTTTAACTCAAGTTAAAAACTGGCTACACAAAATATGTGGCTTCAATATGAACACCAGTAGCATCTACTACTATATACAGAGCTAAATACTTTCAAACTCTTGATTTTAAATTTTACTGCTTTCATTTGGCACAGCCACCTGCTCCTTCATGCTCATGTTATAACAGACACCTCTTCCTCCTTCTTCCTGAAGCACACCTAGCTTTGGAGGTCTCTCGGCTTCCTCAGAATATCTTGTCTAGGTCATCCAGAAAGGGGAGTCTGCTGCCCTAATGGATAGCCATATAGACAGAGGTCACAGCATTCATTTTACAGATATTTCACACAGCACTGCAAACCAGGCACAGTTACCTCTAGTCAGATTACTGCAAAAACCACTTCTACCCAAGGCGCATCAGGTCAATTTTAGCTCCATCTGTGTTTGGGTGATAACGAGAACTTGACAGAGGAAAAAGACAGGGATAAAATCAAACCCATGTGATTTTGACAGGAAGGATTTGTTTCTGCCTGTCCTGGTTTCTCTCTACATAATGAAATCTATTTTTCATTTTTCACAGAGCCATAACTTTCTAGAGTCCTATTAACAAGTAATTCTCTTCAGCTACAAATCTTTAAAGATAAAATTGTCATACATTTGGTCATCTTGTTTTTGGCACTGGCATTTCTACCTTGTATATGTCCTTGACTTTGCTTTGGTTTGGCTTTCTGAGGAGGGTCTCAGTCTGCTGCTCAGGTTGGCCTCCAGCTTATGGAGATCTTCTTCCCTTAAGCTTTCCTAATGCTGGGATAACAGTCATGAGCCATCATATCCAGAGAGTAGACCAGGCTGGCCTCAAACTCACAGAGATTCACCTGCCTCTGTCTCTGCCTCCTGAGTGCTGGGATTAAAGCACCATCACTGCCTAGCAACACTTTCCTTTGTTAAAAAAAGCAAAAGTGCTCATATGATTAGGGTTTATATCTATAATTCAGATTTGGGAAACAAATAAAATTGGTAGCTGAAGAGGTTGAACTAAGCATAAAAAAATATAATGTGGGTAAAAGGATAACAGAACTCACTCATGCTTGAGTGAGAGCAAACCCTGATTTGGAAGGAGTATAAACAAGTACTCAGGCCTGGGAGAAAATGAGTAACTTTACCCTCTGTACAAGGAACAATAGGTATGAAGAAGTGCTGCCTAGTATTATAGGCAGAATTCTTTCTGAAAGTTCAAAGGAAGCATTATAGAGTAATGTGAATTTCTCTATAGCTAGGGTGTACTTGAAATATTCACCTTGCAAAATTTTCACTTTTACTAGATCTCTTACTAAAATACAGAAAAGAATTTCCTTAGTTTCAGTGGCTGGAAACCTTAGACTTTCTGACATGACAATAACAATCAAGTTTTCAGTTCACTGCTTAACCAGAGACTATAGAACAAAGGTTGAGAGTGTTGCTCTTACCTCCATGATGGGGTTGGAGGCCAAGACCTTTTCTTCAACATTGGCCTCACTGGCAGAACCACTTACAGTTGCAAAGTATCGCATGGCATACTTAGCTGAGACGGTCTTTCCTGCACCCGATTCTCCGCTTACAATGATGGATTGATTTCGTTCATCCCTATAAAACAAATAAGAGTGATTGCCAGTGCATCTACTCCTGAATGTGATTCCTTCTGATTCTTTCTCCCCATGAGGCAGAGTGAATTTCTGCTAGTTCATATACATAACAACGTAGAAACAAATATATTTATTTGAAACATATAAACATACCTGAAACAAATAAACGTATTTATTTGAAACAATATTAAGAAACATAGTATTTCATAATGACCACCTAGACACAAGGACAGAAAAGGGTATACTATTAACTTAAAAGAATCATATAACTAAGGACAACTCTGTGTTACAGTCATTCTGAATTTTCCATGTATCTCACAGTATTTTATTCATGGAGATTTTTGTTGAAATTTTAAAATATTGTTGTCAGCTACCATAGAATAAAAGGGGAAGTCAGGCAGTGCTGATGCATGCCTTTAATCCCAGCACTCTGGAGACAGAGGCAGGTGGATCTCTGTGAGTTGGAGGCCAGCCTGGTCTACAAGGAGCTAGTTCCAGGATAGGCACCAAAGCTACAGAAAAACCCTGTCTTGGAAAAAAAAAAAAGAAAAAGAAAAAGAAAGAAAAGAATAAAAAGGGGAATACTGGATCCACAACAAAATAATTTAGAAAAAGGTTCTTAATTAAAGCTGTTTATAATCACTTGAAATATTTCAAATTGTCTATCTGCTAATGATCTGTGAAGTAGAATCACCCAAAAGCTCCTATTCCTACCAAGTACCTACAGAACCAGGTAAAAATCCACTTTGTTGGCTAATTTCATTTTAAAAAATGTCATCACACTCATGTCTGAAGATACAGTAATAGAATACTATTATTTTTTGCTGTTGTGTGAAGATGAAGCCTAAGTTGCAATGGAGACTCAGGATGTTGGGGATGTGAGACCGTGAGTCACTGATTAAGGAAAGCTGCATGCCAGAATGAAGTGGCCATGAATGAATACTTCATGCCACAATGAAGTATGCTGGAAGTATATAACTTGTTTTCTATTTTATAGGAGTTCGTAGTTAAGAAATGGCTTCGAGTCTCAGATGAGACTTGGACTTAGAATTTTTAAACAGTATTGGGACTAACAAATACTATGGAGACTTTAGTGCAATTTGACTGATTGCACTTTACATTATTATATACATTATATAAGTAAAAGTAAAAATAAAAGAAATAGAGGTTTAAAAAAAAGAGGGAAATGGTGTGGGAGAATTGTCTGTATTCTGTCAATCATATTTTAATAAAACGCTGATTGGCCAGGCAGACAGTATAGGCGGGAAAGCCAGACAGGAAGTAGGGGTGGAGCAAAGAGACTGAGAGTATTCTGGGAAGCAGGAAACTTCCTCAGCTATTCCCGCCCAGATCACCGAAGAGGCAACATGTGAGCTGACAGCTGAGAAAGGTACTGAGCCGTGTGGCTAACATAGATAACAATAATGGATTAATATAAGTTACAAGGACTAATAAGAAGCCTGACCTAATGGGCCAATCAGTTTATAACCTTATGGAGTCTTGTGTGTGATTTTCCTTGGGAGTTGCCGGTTGTGGGGTACCGGGCGGAACAGATACCCCAACAAACCGGTCCTCATGTTACACTAGACCATCTTATAGTTGATTAAACGAAGATCCTGAGATTTAAGTTCTATGGCTATTAGAAGAGAAATAATTAGTACAGATAGCTCTTTTTTAAAAATTATTTCAAGGTTAATTTGACAGTATTAACTTTTTACTCATTCAAAACTATAAGTAAAACTTAGGAACATTGCTCTATGACTCAGAAAAAAAGCAGGAAATATATAAGATTAAGATGATAACACAACACATGGCTTTACGAAAACAAAACTAATTTTTGATGTTTTAATAGAATAACACTGTGATTTTGGTAAAGGAGAACAATCAGGGCCCAGTGATGTGGCTCAGAGTCAGTCAGTTGGCTCAGTACTAAGACTGATGAACTGAGCTCCATCCTTGAAATTCACATGAAAAGAGAACTGACTCCCATAAGTTTTCCTCTGTGCTAACACACACACACACACCCCACACCACACACTACACACAAATAAACAGTTTTAAGATGAGAAAAGACAAGTATGAATATGAGGAAAGGAATAAAAAAGAAACAAAGACCCCGAACTCCACTCACCTTTTCTCCTCTAGAAGCCAACAGGCCTATTAAAGGAAGAGTCGGACAACATGGGCACTGTTCTCTAAGGAGCATGTTTAAAATGGAGATGGGGCATGACCATTTCTAACTAAAACCCCTATGACAGGGCTATCACGATGGCTCTACAGGAAAAGGCACTTGCACCAGGCCCTTTCCTGGCCTCCTCAGGTACTGCACCAACATGATACACATATATACATGCAGGTAAAATATTCATATATATGGATTAAAAAAATAAACTAAGATGGAAACCCACCTCTTCACCCCTACCATGTACACATGATCCACTCTTCCTGTAACCTCTTCATCTCTAGAAAGGGAAATGCTCACTTTCTAGCTCTCAGAACAAATTCTTGTTATTATTTTGATTCCTACTTCTCTTTTACCCTGTATCAGCCAGTTTTTTCTAAGTTCCATTTTAAAAATATATCCAGAATATATACCTATTCCTTCTCGCCACCCTCATTAATATTCTAAACTGAATTGTTAGTTCTCACTTAGTTAATTGATTAACCTACCCCATCTCCTGAGTTTTACCCTAGCTTGCTCTGTTTTGTTATTGTAAAGTTACTTTGTTGTGATTTCAAACTTGTAGAAAACTACATGCACAGTAAAATGAATACCTGCTTATGTTTGCCTCAGAGCCAGGAGCTGTCCCCTTGCTATGTTTCTTTATTTCTCTCAATCTAATACTTTCTGCAGCATTTTGAGTGTGGATTGTAAACATGTATCTTCCTACCACCTTCACAATATGGTTCCTAATTAGAGCTTTGTTCTTACCAATTTATAAGGACCAAAGTCAGGAAAGTTAACACTGCCATAATAACACTCCCATTTAATCAATCACCCTATTAAAGCCTCATTTACTTTTATTCTTTACCAGGCTTTGTTTGTGGGGTGGAACTTCTATCTAATTTGCTGCGCATCATGTCCAGGACACTGACTGGTTTTTGAATTGTGATTAAAATATTTCTGTCAGTAATGATGAATTATATCTTTCCTAAAGATCTGAGGGGTTTGTACAAACAGTGCTGATGTGAAACACCAAGATTCACATCTGGGAAAGATGGCGTGTTTATTTAATAAGGAGAAAAAAATAAAAAATGATCCTCCAGCACTGATTCCTAACTAAGCCAAAGCAGACATACCCTGTTTGGTGACTGTAGATTTTGTGGATGCAGATTCGTTAACACAAAAGATAAATATCCTAACTAACTGAAGCATATTTTCAAAGTATCTATAAGAGAAAATTAGGCAAAGAAAAACAACAACCTTCAATTAAGAAGTCATACTAATGACTAGGAGGTGGTGGCACCCATCTTTAATCCCAGCACTCTGTGAGTTCGACACCAGCCTGATTTACAAGTGCAACCTCCAGGACATCTAAGTCTGTTACACACAAAAACCCTGTCTCGGAAAAAAAGAAAGAAATCATACTGACTGATTCACGGGAAATATCATGTGGGATGAGGAGAATGCCAGGAAGCAAGCTGAATCTGCTGACATTTGAGGGTTGCCACCACAATGATGAAAGAACCCTGCTTTCAGATTTAAGAACAGTACTGGGGTTGAGAATGACTGAGCATATGCAACACTCTTGCTTTGATCCCTTGAGCCAAAGAAAGTATTTTCTGAAAAGTTGCATAATCTTTTAAGTATTATAAAATTCTTCAGAGATCAATTTTAGAGTCTAGCAGCCCATAGGATTCCCTCTCTGACTAGTGAGTCTCAGGCTATTCTGAGTGGTGTCAGCATTGTACTGAGAAGCTCAAGAACTAGAAGAATCAAGTACTAGTAGACACTGTTCAGCTTAGAGGAAAACGTACTGACAGGTGGAATTTTCTCAACGTCAAGCTTTAAACTTTGGGCCGGGGGATGGGGGTAGGGGTGAAATGTACCTTTAATCCCAGCATTTGGGAGGCAGAGGCAGGGGGATCTCTGTGAGTTCAAGGCCAGCCTAGTCTATAAGAGCTAGTTCCAGGACAGGCTCCAAAGTTACAGAGCAACCCTGTCTCAAAAAAAAAAAAAAGCTTTAAAATTTGGATAATCATTACCATTTTATAGAAGTATCAGGCATAATGTATCATATTATATATACCGCTAGTTCACTTAGCAATTTTATATTTAATATACTAATGTTTTACTCAGACTAATTGAATTTTAAAAAATGATCTTCCTATTGATGGCACCTTAGAAAAATTAAACAACTTCTCTGAGTCTCAATTTTACCAACTGTAAAATGAAGTTTTAATTTAATAATTTAATAAGAACACCAAACTCAAAAAGTTGTTGTGAAGATAAATTTTGTTGGTAAATTGAAAGTAACTAATCAATACCATGTAGGGAGACAGCAGACAGTTAACTTTAGCTCTTATTAGAAGTACTATTATTATTAAAACTTATATGGGCTCTTAAATTGAAATAATTATAAAATTCTGTCACAGTCTGATCCCAAAATGTACACTGGTTTCAAAAGAGAAAATAAAGGCCTCTATAGTGTTAGTTTCCTTTCTGTTTTATAAACTGCTTTGGGAGTTTCCCAGTTCATATTTTACCAAGTTCCTCCTTGTAAGCAGGAGAAATTAATCCCTTCTATGCACCCATCCTTTCACATTACAACATATTATTTATTATTCAGAGTACAATCTTATCTTGAATGCACTTTTATTTCCAAGTCTCTGCCCTCAAACTGTTAGGGCTCTGTGGGTGATATGAGGCACATTTTGCAGATGTTCTTTATACAAACATAACTGATGTCATATTATAAATTTTTAATTGCTACATAGAGAGATAATTTATTTTCCAGCCCATAGGTCTTTTAGTTCATCTGTTCCTTTTCTGAGAGACATTAGAGAAGTCTTACTACGGTTACTATGAAACTTTGACTCTCTCACCTATAAAACACAATACCTGCCCTCGCTTTGTCATAAGAGCATGATGAGACTCCAAAGGTAACTTAAAACCAAACTATATAATCTGTGTATTATTGTAAGATTTTAATATTTAATTAAATAGTTCAAACAATCTAAGACAAATTGGCCAAAACTACTTAGGCAGTAATTATTTACAAGTTCTTATTTTCTTTAAACACCCATGACATAGCAAAGAATAAATTATCTTATCTAACAAGAGCCATGAAATGATGAAAGAAATTCCTACCAACCTTGCCATTTGCTTATAAGCCTCTTCAGCTACTGCAAAGATGTGAGGATCCATGTCACCCATGTTCTGGCCACTGTATGCATTAATAATATCTTCTCCATAAATAGGCAGCTGTTCATAGGGATTTATAGCTACCAGGACTATTCCTGGGGGAGGAGGGTTAGAAAGAAAATGAAATCAGTGATATCCCAATGGGCACATCAAACTTGGAAAAGTGAAGCAGCACAAAACCTTGTTTCAATTTAGTTCATACTAAACTAATGAATTGCTCAATGGTCAAAATATATCACAGTCATTGTCATTCTAAATTATTATACATAATCCTAACTAATCTAGACTACATTGTTTAAAATAATGTGACCTGGATAGGGATGGGGCTCAGAAGCAGAGGATTTGTCAATCATTCAGAAACCTCTGGGTTTTATCTCCATTGTGGAAAAAGAAAAATAAGTGTTTTAAACAATTTAAATATCTTCATATTTAGCTTTAAAAAATTGCAGGCTGAAGAGATGGCTCAGGGGTAAAGAGCACTTGCTGACCTTGCAGAGGATCTGAGTTCAGGTCCCAGCACCCATGACCCATGTCAGGCAGCTCACAACTGCCTGTAACTCCAACTCCTGGGAATCAGACCGTCTAGACTTTGCAAGCACCAAAATGCATGTATACACACACACACACACTTATTTCTAGAGATTTATCCAATGAAATAAACAGAGATTCATTCAAAGGGTTTTCTTTTAGAAGGATATCACACTGGTAGTCATACAGTGAAAACAGAAACCAAAAAAATATATACTGGAATCATTGTAATTCTACATAAGCATTGTTGCGTACCACAGAATACTGAGTATTCTGAATTCTGAAGAACTAAGTGTCATAGAAAGTGGAGATAGGTAAAGAATCAGAAGTTCAAGGTTATCCTTAGCTACATAATGCATTCCAGAACAGTCTGGGCTATATGAGACACTGCCTCAAAAGAAAAAAAAATCATGAAAAATATGGCATGTGCAAAAAAAATAATAAACTGAAAGACTGGTGAGAGGGTTCAGTACTTAAGAGAGCTGCTTTTGTACAGGACCTGGGTTTGGTTCCCAGCACCACAAGTGGTTCATCACCACCCATAACTCCAGTTCCAGGGCATCTTATACCCTCTTCTGACCTCCACAGGCACCTGATATATTACACATGTGGTGTACATGCCACATACAAACATGCAGACAAAACACTCATACACATAATTCTTAAAATATAAATTGAAGAAAAACAAGGAAAAATATTTAAATAATAAGGAGAAAGAAAGGTTATCAATAAGGATATGTAGGAAAAAGTGGCTGTGCCTGCTTAAATAGACAATACTGAAATCATGATAAACATGACATGGGCCAGCAAGCCAATGAACACATGGGAAGGAGTGAACACCAGGATCTGGACCTCAAAAGAGACATGATTAGTAGGAGAGAGGGAAGATCATGAGGGAGAAGAGTCAGAGAAGTGGGAGGAAATAACTATGAACAAAATAGAGAAGAGAAAAACATAGACAGATGGGGCTAGAATAAGAACTGCAGCCATGCACACATGTTCAAGCTTCACTTTGGAGAAAACCATCATGAGCTGGGCTGCTGGCAGCTAGCATTGCAGGAAAGAGACACTTGTCACATGTCAGTCCTGGGTGTCTAAGTAAGGATAAAGGTAGCACTAACCTTGCACCTGCACCGAATGCCAGTCTGTGGACACCTACTCTTCATGGAGTAGGTTTTTTTTTTAATTAAAAATTTCCACCTCCTCCCCGCCTCCCTTTTCCCTCCCCCTCCCCACCCCCTCCTCCGTCTCTAGTCCTAAGAGCAGTCAGGGTTCCCTGCCCCGTGGGAAGTCCAAGGTTCTCCCGCCTCCATCCAGGTCTATAAAGGTGAGCATCCAAACAAATCAGGCTCCCACAAAGTCAGTCCATGCAGTAGAATCAAAACCCAGTGCCATTGTCCTTGGCTTCTCAGTCAGCCTTCATTGCCAGCCACATTCAGAGTGCCCAGTTTGATCACATGCTCCATCACTCCCAGTCCAGCTGGCCTTGGTGAGCTCCCATTAGATCAGTCCCATCTTCTCAGTGTGGACACACCCCTCGTGGTCCTGACTTCCTTGCTCATGTTCTCCCTCCTTCTGCTCCTCATTAGGACCTTGGGAGCTCAGTCCAGTGCATGGAGTAGGTTTTTATGAGATGAAAAGAACTGGTGACTTCAGCATCTGACATGACTGGGAGAGGATGGTCCAAAAAACTGGACCTGTTCTTTTTAAGTTGAGTGAAACCATGTAAATTCACAAATAACTTTATTTGGCATGAACTGTAACCAGCTACTGGATATTGGCAAATCTTTGTGGTAACTTTGAAGTGATTTTGTATATATGAGAAATTCAACCAAGCTGGCTTTCCCCATCTGCATTTCCATTACTACATCCACCAAAGGAAAGCTTATAGCTCATCAGGAAAACACTTACCACAATACGTATAAATAAGTTTGGAATCGATGAAGCGAACGCGGAGATTATGCAACACAGCAGGCTCATGAAGATAGCTGAGGGCTGTGAGATCATTTTCTCCAACAAGTATGTCAGGGTTCCGTAAGTGAGGCAGCTCCTTGGTCTTTGGATCTAGACGGTATTCTAAATCCTGAGGACAGAAGATGCAAATCTACGTCAATAATGATTAACGTGAAACAGACCTATGCACTTAATTATTCCCTATTTCTGATTTGCCTCTTGGCTTTTAAATGTATTTATTTTCTATCATTTTTCTATTAACAGAAAAACTGGTAAAAATAGCAAACAATAAGGAGTGGTTTCGTTTGCGACAGACATAAATCTGCACAAATAATTTAAAATTATATTTTTTAATATTTTATATTTATATTATATTTAATTACACATGTATGCATGTCTGTAGTGTGTGAGGGTGTGTACGTGTGCATGATGCAGTTGTCTAGACTGGACATTGGATTTCCTGGAATTGGAATTATAGGCAATTCCAGGGCCTATGCAGGGAACTGCCCAATGCAGGGAACCAATCTCGGGTCCTCTGGAAGAGCAATATATACTCCTACCCACTGAACCACAGCTCCAGCACCACTGTAAATGGTTTTTGTTAATATAGTGGAAGAAGTCAGAGTGTGAAGATTTTTTTTTTTGAGGCACAGATTCTCTGTAGCTTTGGAGCCTGTCCTGGAACTAGCTCTTATAGACCAGGCTGGCCTTGAAATTGCAGAGATCTTCCTGCCTCTGTCTCCCAAGTGCTGGGATTAAAGGTGTGCGCCACAACTGCGCAGCTGGAGTGTAAAGATTTTTTACCCTGAAAATTTCAACCACTAGATGAGTTCTTATCTTCCTCTTCATTCTATGTATGGGAAAGGATAGACAATATAAGAGGTCAAGAGCTTAGTTTTAAAGTCAGTCTGACCTGGGTTCAAACCCTAATACTGACACTTAACTTCTATGTGGCTTTGTATTATTTAAACTAAGTTTCTCATTTGTAAGATGGTTTAACAAAAATGACTCAAAAACTTTGGAAAAAATTAAAGAAGCAATGCTTATCACAATCTGAGAACCCCTAAGATTTCTGAAGCCCTAAGGACCCTGAGAGGCCCCTGAAATTACGTGCAACACTGTGTGTACATATTTGTACATACAAGACCTGAGTTTGATCCCCACACAGAGAAATGAAAGCAATTCCTGAACCTGTCCTCTGACCTCTATTATGTGCACCATGGCAAGAACACATATAAACACACATACATGAATATGCACACTAAATGTCAAAATAAATTTAAGGAGTACTACTCATTATAAAATCATAGGTATATGGGACTTTTTGACAACACCAATTATGAAAGTTGCCACTGTACTGTATATTAAGGACAAATAGTATAGGCCAAATGAAAAGAGGAAAAGATAGGTTCAATTATAGCGGAACATACTCATGTGTTACTACTGAAGATGTACAGAGAAGTGAAATATTTAAATCAGGTAGAAATGGATTAGCATACAGGAAAGGCAAGGAACTTTGTGCCTTTCCCCTCTGTTAGCTTCTCCAGGGATGAGGTCCTTTTCCATGGCTGACTGCTCACTGCACTGGCTCTGTCAATCCACCACTGTTTCCTTACTGCTCCAATCTGAGTGCTTTAGATTACTTTCACTACATACTGCTTGCCTGCCCACCTTCAATATCATGTTTGGGGTCAGGAAGCTCACTGATCTTTTCTGCTTATGTCTAAATAGTGTGACAATATGGACTGATAGCACACCCTGGAGGATGTGGGGCTTTAGAAATGCTCATGATCTTCATGGTTTGATAATACAATTCGTCATAGAGTTCCAGAACAGCAGAAGGGCATCCAACAATGATTTTCTCAGTCTTCATAGAAGGACGGGGCAATTATTTGGTCAGTGTAGGAAGAAAAAGAAATGGAACCGGGATATTAAAGAAGACACTAACACGGCCAAGAGTCATCTGTAACATATTTACAAAAATTTCCTCTTGAAATGGATATAATCTGCTTCTCTGAAATCACTAGTCATTATCAAATAAATGTTCACTCTAGTATTGAAAAGACCATGGTTTTTTTCTATTGTATTCTAGAACATAAACTACTGTATTTCCTTAAAAGGAAATTGGTCAGTTGCAGGGAGACTTTGTCTATTTTTCTCACATCCTGTTCTAAGAATTGCTCTTCCTCCTCTTTTTCTTCTCTTTTTGTTTGTTTTTTTTTTCTTTTTTTGAACCACGGGATCTCATGTATCCCAGGCTGGCCCTAAGTAGTTCAGGATAACTTACAAACTTCTGAATCTCCACTCTATTTCCCAAGTACTGGGACTACAGTGCACATGACTATACAGTAAGTATGTGTATATATATATATATGACTTGTTTTTATTAATTACACTGACTTCAGGAAAATCTATCTGATGCCTCTGAACCTAACAACCCATTGAGCTGTGAATTAGACATAGAAAATATAGGCCAATAGGTCTAACACAGTGCCTAATACTATAAAGCAGATAAATAATAAATGTTGGATACTGTAATTCTATAGCTTGACATTCAGGGCTTCCTTAATCTGGTCTAATCCTCTACCAAGTCTTTTTGTCTCAGCTATGTTTTCCTGAAATCCATATCCATAGTGCCTTCTCTGAAACACAAACTTCACTATTCGTATTCTAAAACACTAATTACTCTCCATATACTAGTGAAGATCAAGAGTTTTTATATTATCACTATTAATTATGATTATTATCACTTAGCTCAGGTTTTTTCCCAACTAGCTCTTATAACTTAACCTGTTTTTTTATTAATCTTCATTCTGCCATATGGTTCAATTACCTTTCCTCTGTACCTACCTGAATGATATGAAATCCTACCTCCAAACAACAATAACAAAACCGAATAAAATAGAAATAGTAATACTCTACTCACAGTATTATTGTAAAGATTAAAATAATTGTCATGGGTTCAGTATACACCTTTAATACCAGAAGAGGCAGAGGAAGGTGAATCTCAGTGAGATCCAATTTAGCCTGGCCTGTAAAGAGAGTTCTGGGCCAGGCAGTGCTCAATTGTGAGACCTTGCCTTTAAAAAAAATAAATTGTCTTTTGGGTTTTTTTGTTGTTGTTGTTCAATAGCCAGGCAGGAAGCATAGGCAGGCCAACCAGACAGGAAGTAGAGGCGGGGCAATGAGAACAGGAGAATTCTGGGAAGGAGGAAGTCCATTCTCCCCAATCCTTCCCAGATCACCGAAGAAGCAGGATGTGACCTGCCCTGCTGAAAAAGGTACCAAGTTATGTGGCTAACACAGATAAGAATAATGGGTTAATATAAGCTACAAGAGCTAATAAGAAGCCTGAGCTAATGGGCCAATCAGTTTATAATCTTATGGAGACCTCTGTGTGATTTTCTTTGGGGCTAAACGGATAAAGATACATAGAGAACCTGTTTCAAAAAGCCAAAAAGTAAAAAATAGAAGAAATAGAGGTTAAAATAAAGCCACGTAAAGATGAAAAATACTGTATGCTATTATGCTCTCTTTGAATTGTTTGAATGCTAAGGAAGGAGCAACAGCTGCTAAAAGATATTTGTTTGTAAATGCTGCTGAATTAACCCAAGATAGGTATTTTGAAAATACCTTGGCTTCAAAATTGAAGTAAAAAGGTATGTTACTTTGGAGAAGAGATTTTGCTTTTGTTTCCACAGGAAATGAGAGACTGTGGATTCATTCTGAATTAAGAAAAATCAGATTTGATCAAGGAAGACCACCTGAGAAATCTCCTGAAGGAACAGATGGCCCAGATGTCTAAGTTCTACATCCAGAACAGATTCAAGATGCTACCTAAGATGATCAAGACTCACAGGATACTCCAGTCAGGACTTGATCATAACTCTAAATTTTCTTTAAGTACCCATAAGATTATCAGTGCCCCCCAACCAGCTGGAAGTAGTCTGGAATACTACGCCCACATTCCCAAAAAAGTGGACTATAAATACTTTCCTTTGTTTTAAAAAAAAAAAAAAGAGGGGGAAGTGGTGAGGGAGAATTGTCTGTATTCTGTCAATTGTGTTTTAAATAAACGCTAATTGGCCAGACAGGAAGTATAGGCGGGTAAACCAGACAGGAAGTAGAGGCGGGTAAACCAGACAGGAAGTAGAGGCAGAACAATGAGAACAGGAGAATTCTGGGAAGGAGGAAGCCCATTCCACCGAAGAAGCAGGATGTGACCTGCCCTGCTGAAAAGGGTACTGAGCCATGTGGCTAACATAGATAAGAATAATGGGTTAATATAAGCTACAAGAGCTAATAAGAAGCCTGGGCTAACGGGCCAATCAGTTTATCATAAATATAGACTCTCTGTGTAATTTCTTTGGGGCTTACTGGCTGTGGGAACTGGGCAGGACAGAAACCCCAAATAGCAGGACCTCATGTTACATTTGTCTTTGTTTTTTGGGTTTTTTTTTTTTTTTTGGTTTTTTTTTTTGAGGCAAGTTTCACATTTTCTATAAAATTTTTTAAACAATCTTTTTTTATTTTACATACCAATCCCAATTTCCTCTCCCTCACCTCCTTCTGCTCCCTCCACATTTCCCCTACCCCACACCCCTTCCACTCCTCAGAGAAGGTGAGGCCTCCCATGGGGAATCAACAAAGTCTGATACATCACTTGATGCAGGACCAAGGCCCTCCCCCACTGTATCTAGGCTGAGTAAAGTATCCCTCCACAGGGAATGGGCTCCAAAGAGCCAGATCATACACTAGGGATAAATACTGGTTCCACTACCAGTGGCCCCACAAATTGTCCATGCCACACAACTGTCACTCACATTCAGAAGGCCTAGTTCAGTCTTATGCAGGTTCCCCAGCTGTCAGTCCAGAGTCAGTGAACTCCCACTGGCTCTGGTCAGCTATTTCTGTGAGCTTCCCCATTATTGTCCTGACCCTTTTGCTTATATTATCACTCCTCCCTCTCTACAACTGGACTCCAGGAGCTCAGCCCAGTGCTTAGCTGTGGATCTCTACATCTGCTTCCACAATTTACTGGATGAAGGCTCTATGATGACAATTAAGGTAGTCATCTGACTACAGGGGAAGTTTAAGTACCCTCTCCACTAATGCTCATATTCTTAGCTTGGGTCATGCTTGTGGACTCCTGGGAATTTTTATTAGTTAGTTTTCTTGCTAACCTCATAATAACTCCCTCTATCAAAATATCTCTTCACTTGCTCTCCTCCTCTGTTCTTCTCCCAACCTTCCTGATCCCTCACATATTCCTCCCCCCTCCCCTTTCTCTCCTTCTCACTCCCTTTTTGTCCTATACCACTCGCTCCCAATTTACTTAGGAGATCTTCTCTATTTCCCCTTTCCAGGGGGATCCATGTATATCTCTTAGAGTCCTCCTTGTTTCCTGTGAGTTAACCCAGACCCAGAAAGACAAACATATTATGTACTTACTCTTTTTTTTTTAAATATTTATTCATTTATTATGTATTCAATGTCTGCCTACATGTGTGCCTGCAGGCCAGAGAGGGCACCAGATCTCATTACAGATGGCTGTGAGCCACCATATGGTTGCTGGGAATTGAACTCAAGACCCTTGGAAGAGCAGGCAATGCTCTTAACCACTGAGCCATCTCTCCAGCCCCCGTATGTACTTACTCTTAAGTGGATATCAGACATAAAGCAAAGGATAACCAGTCTACAGGCCACAACCCCAGAGAAGCCAGGAAACAAGAAGGACCCTAAGAGATGAATTGTCTTAAAAGAGTTAGAATCATGCTTGATACTCAGTAAGTACTCAATGCACGGGTTGATCATTTGAAAAATAAACATACACTTTTTTTTAACATTATGGTGGTTTCAATGATAAATGTCCCCTTAGGATCAGGGATTTAAATACCTGGTGCCCAGTTGGGCACTGTGTTGGGAGGTGTAGGAGATGTAGCCCTGCTGAAGGAATGCCACTAGGATGGGCTTAGGGAGTATACATGCAGCCCGCCCCAGTTCTAGTTTGATCTCTCTGCCTCATGCTTGTGGTAAAATATGTGATCTCAGCTTCTTGCTCCCACCATGCTTGGCACCTGCTGCCATACTTTCCCAGCATAACAGACTTCTTATCCCTCTGGACTCCAAGTCCAAATAAACTCTTCTTCTGTAAGACGCTTCTGCTGTGGTGTTTTATCACAGCAGCAGAAAGGCCATTAATGCAGAAGTTGAAACCAAAAAGCAGGCTATTGCTGTGAAGACCAGACTATGTGGGGGGTTTTGAAGGAATATGAAAACTTTGGAACTTCATACTAGAAAAGGGCTAAATGCTGTAAGTGGAGTTTAGCAGGTTGTTCTAGACAGTGATGCTGTCTTCCACAGCCAGCCAGTAAGCATCATTCCTCCGTGGTCACTGCTTATTTCTTGTGTCCAAGTCCCTGCCATGAGCGTGTACCTCGGTTTCCCTTGACAATATAAACTGTAAGATGAGATACCTTTCCTCCCCAAATTAGTCTTAGTCATGGCGTTTATCACAACAACAGGGAAACAGGGTAGAAATCTTGAGAATCCTAGTGCAGCACTCAGGTCATCAGGTTTTGTGGCAAGGATCTTTATCTCCTGATCCATCTCACCAGCCCTTGTTCTATGTATTGAAACAATACCTCACTATATAGACCCAGCTGGACTCAAACTTGAAATTCTCCTGCCCCAGCCTCCATATGCTAGGAGTACAGGAATGAGACACTGTACCTAACTTGAACTGAAAGTTCTTCTAAATGTTTTATTATTTTAGTCACACACACACACACACACACACACACACACACACAATTTGATCATATTCTCCCTCCTATTCCCTTTTACTATCCCCTCCCTCTTCCACTGAGTCCTTTCTTCTTCCCAAGAAACTCCCTCCTACTTTGATGTCTATGAGCAGACAGGGGTCAGAAGTGAAGTAGGGATAGGTCCCATTGCATCTAATTAGGGTTGTCTGCATGAACATGGGTTGGGGTTATTAACTCAAGGAAGAACAACTTACCAGTGGCTGCACCACTGAGGAATATGACTCCCCATCCCTAGAAATCATTTACTACCGTAACTCTTCAGGGAGGAGTGGGGCCTCATAAGACCCTTCTCCATCCGTGCTGCAATGCGAATGGGCCTAGTCCTATGTAGGCAGTCACAGCTGCTGTGAGCTTAAGGTGCAACAGCCATGTCATGTCAGGAAAACAGTATTTTGTAGAAACCCCACCCCCATCCTGACATCCTCCAGCTCCTACATTCGTTCTCTCTCATCTTCTGCAATGTTCTTTGAGCCTTGGAGAGGGTAATATAATGCCCCCATATAAGGTTGAGCACTTAACACTGGGACTATAAATTCTTTAAACAAAATGAATGCCACAAAATTCTGTTTAAGAAGAAGTGTGACATATCCTGTCAAATGCACTGGACAGATTAAAAGCTTTGGAACAAAGATGAGTTCACTGACATAGAGTACAGCTAGTCAGCAATAGGGCTGCTTGTAAGGTCTTCTGGTGACTGTGAAATGCTTCATATACAACAGTTCCTTGGTAAATATTTCCCAAATATCAAACGTAGACAGGTACTTAGTTATTATGAAGTAAGTGCAATGCTGTCCTAAACATAAAATATGGATGCAGAGGTACCTCTTTAGTATTAAAATGAGAAATTAAGGCAAATTTGATAATCATAATAAATGTAGAAGCTAAAATGATGGTGTTTTAAAGCATGTCTTGTTTTCACTGGCTTCTATGTGGAGTACAGAAAAAGTATCATTTTATCAAAATAGTAAATAACAATATTAAAGTAATTCAATATTTGTGCTATATAATTGGAATTAAGGAAATTATAGTCAGATTTTATCTTTCACCCTCCATCACTTCAGGCTAAACATAAGAAATGAAGGCGAAGCTCTTACCTTCCCTTCCTCAAGGTGAAGCAGCAGCACTTTATCTCCAGGTTTATAATCTTTGAGCAGCTCTGCTGACTTCCACACTTCCTCAGGATCAGGTATCCAAACCCTGGCAAACTAGAAGACAAAAAGGAAAGACATTTAAGCTAGCAAATCAATCACTTAACAACCATATTTACAACATATCACATTATAACTTCACTTATAATTAATTTATTAAAAAGGCATCTTAGGCAAGGTACGGTGGTGCAGCCCAGCACTGGAAGGGAAGGAAGATCAGAAATTCAAGGTCAGTCTTAGTTATACAATAAGACCTGGAACCCTGTTTCAAAACAAACAAACAAATAAACAAACAAAACACCAAAAAGAACTCTGAGCTATATGAAATTCGCTTTTTCTTTTTGTTAGTTTATTAGAGGCACCATTTTATTTACATAGTCCAGACTGGTTTTGACCTCACAGTCCTTCTGCTTAGTCCTGCTGAGTATTGTGATTACAGGTATATACCATGCCTGCTATGGCACTTACTTTTAAAATTAGAATAGAAAAGTAGGTTAGCTCCAGTACCACTACTATTCCCAAATTATATAAATAATGTGCTCTGAAAAAATAACCAAAATTAAAACCTAGCTTTGCTTTATATAGTAAATGTAATTTGGGGTAAAAATTTACATATAATGTCTATTTTCAAAGTTCTAGGATGGTAATTCGACAGCATAGTCATCTCTTTATGGTAGCATTCGCAATCTAAATCTTTCATTGTGGTTTCATCATCTGCAAAGCCTTGGTGACATCCCAGGTAATCTTCAGGAACCATTCTAGTGGGGAAATAAGAAATAAATGTGTGGCCTTAAGTCACAGTTAATTCATAGACTGCATATCGACAATTTTCTTTGAAAAAAATTATTGCTTATTTTAACAGTCGAAGAAAAACATTGTTATTTGAAATTTTGCACACAGAATTTTATAAAGATTAATAGGAATGGTATTTGACTAGCAATACATTTGGCTCAAGTAGCCTCAATACCATGAGAATGTATGATAATTACCACAAAATCCTAAAACTATAGCTTCAACTAGTTTTTCTCTGAACCTAAGTCAGACAGGTAATTTTGAGGAAAAGTACAAAATATTTCAATATTTAATATGTATAGATCATAATGTAGAGCAAGCTAGAGCCAGTTGGCTGAGGAAGACATACTGATATCAGCCAGACTAAATCTCCTTTCTGATCTGTACTTATATTCTCATTTTATGTAAAACCATCTCTATATCAATCCTCCCTCCCTATCCATCTCTCCCCCTTATTGTCTCCTTTCCTCCCGCCCTCCTTCCTTCCAATAATGGCCATGCTGAAGACTGAACCAATGCTAGGCAAACACGATCACTGACCTGCACGCTTAGTAGTTTCCAATCCCCTTTTACAATTGGAAACAGGGTCACACTAAAAAGGCTTTAACTTGCTATGTAGACCAGGTAGGCCTTGCTGCAGCCAATCAAGTAGCTAGAACTACAGGTATGCACCATCATGCTCAGCTAGACTTGAACTGTGTATGTGTGTATAGGCACACACACATGTGCATGTAAGTGTGGAAGTCAAGGCTTGATGTTAGGTATCTTCCTCTACTGCTTTCCATCCTTTACTTTGAGACATGGTCTCTAGCTGAACTGGGAGCTCACTAAGTCATCAAAACTAAACAGCTAGCAAACTTTGGGGATTTGCCTGTCTTTGCCTCCATAGAGCTAGGATTATAGGCATGTACTAATGTTCTAGCTTTTTATGTAAGTTGCTGCAGATCTAAACTCAAGTCCTTACATGACAAGCACTTTACCAACTAAGCTATCTTGCTGGCCCTGGGTTTCATTGTCAATAGTGACCAAGACATAATCTACGTGGATTTCGAGTTGAAATGACATCTGGATTTAGGTGAGTGCCATGTGGAGCAGTTGTAGTGTGATGATATTCTAAGTACTGGCCACAGGTCCTACAGACCTGTATCAACAATACTCCCTAATAAAAAAGAGATGTAAATGATTTAGCAGTAAATTTAAAGGTGAGGGGAAAGAGAATAAAAAAGCAGTAGGTGACTGAAAGCAGAGGAGATCTAAGACTCCAGGGAACCTAAAGAAAATATCTATGGACAGGAAAACACTTATTTCAGCCCACCCCTGTACAAGACATTACATTAACCTCTGTACCGACAGATTTCTAAACCTTTCTTTTAAGAAACTACGATGACATAATGTAGCACTTTTCAAAAAATAAAAATTAAAAAAAAAGAAAAGAAAATATGCCAAATCAGCTCATAGCTTGTGATGTTTGGAAAGCCAGATGTAGTAGCATGCTCAGGTAACTCGAGTTCTTGAGAGACTGAAGAAGAGGGTCATCTTGGGCTACATAGTGAATTTCAGTCCAGTGAGGACCACAACATGAAATTATGTCTCAAAATAAAGAAAGAGAGTGAAGAGGGAGGGAGGGAAGAAGAAAAAAAAACAAAAATAGTATATTCTATGTAGATTAAAACTCACCCAATTTTTTCATTTTTCATTTATGATTACAGAATCATAAAAACCTTAATGTAAACAATTTGAAAAATACTGAAAACTTTTAGCATGACAGAGTATGATGTTAGAACTATATTATACTATATTACATTACATTGGCATATCATATTATGTTAGAATTATAAATTCTAATCCAGGTATCATACTTGCCTTAACCTTTATTTTAGACAAAGAGCAAGAGCAGTCTGTCTTAAGGATTACATACACAGAAGCTTTGTAAAAGTATAATAAAAAGTACTAACAATATATTAGTATGAGCAAGATTGCTCATTTTTCTCCATAGGAAGTGATTTCTTTTTTTGAAATATTTATTTATTTATTTATTTATTATGTATACAATATTCTGTCTACATGTGTGTCTACAGGCCAGAAGAGGGCACCAGATCTCATTTCAGATGGTTGTGAGCCACCATGTGGTTGCTGGGTATTGAACTCAGGACCTTTGGAAGAGCAGGCAATGCTCTTAACCACTGAGCCATCTCTCCAGCCCCAGGAAGTGATTTCTAATGTCATATATCAAATACATTTAGTAAAATTTATTTTATAACTTTTTCTCTGATGCACGGTCTATAAACTGAGAAATATAATTAAAATTGCTAATTCAACGAGAATTTCTATGTAACTTTTCTGATGGTTTAAATGAGAATGGCCCCAGAGGTTCATATGTTTGAATACTTGATTCCCAGTTGGTGGAATTGTTTGGGAAGGGTTAGGAAGTATGGCCTTGTTGAAGGAAGTGTGTGACTTTGAGGTTTCAAAAGACTTGTACTATTGCCAGTGTGCTCTCTCTATGTCACGCATCAACCCCACATCAGACAGAGGGCTGATCTACAAAATATATAAAGAACTCAAGAAACTGGTCATCAAAAGAACAAATAATCCAAAAAAAAAATGGAGTATAGACCCAAACAGAAAACTCTCAACAGAGGAATCTAAAATGACTGAAAGACACTTAAGGAAATGTTCAACATCCTTAGTCATCAGAGAAATGCAAATCAAAACAACTCCGAGATTCCATCTTACACCTGTAAGAATGGCCAGGATCCTCGTCCCATAACCAACTGATGAATATTTGCATATCACCAGAGAACCTTCATCTAGCGATGGATGGAGATAGAGACAGAGTCCCACATTGGAGCACTGGACTTAGTTCCCTATGTCCAAATGAGGAGCAGAAAGGGGAGAACGTGAGCAAGGAAGTCAGGATCACAAGGGCTGCGTCCACCCACTGAGACGGTGGAACTGATCTAATGGGAGCTCACCAAGGTCAGTTGGACTGGGAGCGATGGAGCATGGGATCAAAATGGACACTCTGAATGTGGCTGGCGATGAAGGCTAACTGAGAAGCCAAGGACAATGGCATTGGGATTTAATTCTACTGCATGGTCTGACTTTTGTGGGAGCCTGGTTTGTTTGGATGTTCACCTTTAAAGACCTGTAAGGATGGGGGAGGACCTTGGACTTCCAAAGGGGCAGGGAACCCTGACTGCTCTTAAGACTAGAGAGGGAGAGGGAGGTGGGGAGGGGAAGTTGGGAAAGGGGAGATGGGGAGGGGAAGGGAAAAGGGAGGCGAGGAAGAGGTGGAAATTTTTAGTTAATTAATTAACTAACTAACTAATTAAAAAAATGGCCAGGATCAAAAACAATGACAACTTATGCTGGAGAGATGTGGGGTAAAGGGAACACTCTTGCATTGCTGTTGGTAATACAAATTGGTACAGTTCCTTTGGATATCAGTATGGTGATTTCTCAGAAAATTAGAAAGCAACCTTCCTCAAAATCCAGCAATACCACTTTTGGGAATATATCCAAAGGATGCTCAATTATACCACAAGGACACGTGCTCAACTATGTTCATAGCAGCATTGTTTGCATAGCCAGAATCTGGAAATAACCTAAATGCCCCTCAACCAAAGAATGAATACAGAAAATGTGGTACATTTATATACTGAAGTACTACACAGCAGAAAAAAATAATGGCATCTTAAAATTTGCGGGCAGATGGATGGATCTAGAAACCACCATATTGAGTGAGGTAACCCAGAACCAGACAGACAAATATCATATGCACTCACTCATAAGTGCCTTTATACATAAGGCAAAGAAAACCAGCCTACAATTCACAATCCCAGAGAATCTAGGCAACAATGAGGACCCTAAGAAAGACATACATAGATCTAATTTACATGGGGAGTAGAAAAAGACAAGATCTCCTGAATAAATTGGGAGCATAGGGACCATGGGAGAGGGTTGAAGGGGAGGAAAGAGGAAGGGAGGAGAGCAGAGAAAAATGTAGAGCTCAATAAAATCAACTAAAAAAAAAGATGTGAGCTCTTAGTTGCTGTTCCAGCCACCTTCAACCATGCCTTCACTTCTCTATCATAGATTCTAACTCTCTGGAACTCAAACTCTTTTAGAAACTGTTGTGGTCATGGTCTTTTATCACAGCAATAGAAAAACATCTATTACATGCTCCATCTCTTACTTTACAAAGTTAATATTTTTGTAATTTTTTAATAAATGATCTACTAGTTCCAGAAAAGAAAAACAAA